GAGTTGGCGGTGGGTGGTGATGACTAGCTGCCTTCCTCTAGTCTTACACTGACTAAATTAGGGATGGCTAGCGCAGATAGCCCTCGTGTAGCTTTAGCGCGAAATTCAAAAAGAAAGAAGAAATATACTTGTTTTAAAGCTAAGTTATCTCTTAAGTGATGAAATAAAATAATGTTTGAAAATCTACATTAACCTGGTTCTCTCTAAAGATTCAAAATCTACATTAACCTGGTTCTCTCTAAAGATTCAAAATCATCTAGCGATTTTCAATTAAACTTCTAATGATTAATATTTCGGATAGCAAGTTACTATGGATAAAAGTTTCTTTTTACATAAACATCAGTTTTTTTTGTAGATTTTCAAATCTATTCTAACTGAATTACATTGCAAGTTTTATTGAACAGGAATGTTCCATTCTCATATTTTGTTTTCCATAAGATCTCTTTAAAAATAGATTCACATTACAGTCTCCTATTCTAGTTCTAACAAAAACTTGTGCAAATAATTCTCGATGTGTTATCCTATTTTTGTTTAATACACGTGCCAAAAACGTGCCGTAAAGGATACTTAAAGGGAAGGTTTTAAACTAAGGAATGTAACAATATATTACATTTCTCTCTGCTAAGCCACTATGGATATCATAATAAAATTCGTTAACGTATCAGATAAATCTGGTCAGATTAATAAGATGTAAGACACTCAACTGACTGGGCGAGGAAACTCAAATATATTCACAAATATACAGACTATATGGTTAATTAAACTTGAAGTCCTCTAGTAGAAACCTAATTCCTAGCAACTAAGTTTGAGGTCCTTTAGTGCAAAGCTAATTCCTATTCACTATGCTTGGAGCCATCTGGTGGAAATCTAATTTCTATTCACTATTTTTGAATTCCTGTAGTGGAAACCTAGTTCCTATTTGCTGTGTTTGAAGTCTTCGAAAAACAAGAAAAGCATTCAGGCATTGAATATGAGGGAGATGAATTATTGAATATTACATTTTATCTAAAATAATGTTGAGGTCCACTAGCACGAAACAATTTTAAGTGTCACAAACAAAAGTTGGACTGAACAAGGCTTTTGAAAGTACGGAAAACTTGTTGTTCCACATATGATTGTTTTTTCATAAAAGTGGAAACAAATTTCTCACGTGTTCTTTTCAGTCTAACTATTGATTGTGATATTTAAACTTGCCGTTTCGTATTAATAGATTAAAACTCTATTTTTACCGGCGTTGTGTATTTACCTACTATTACTTTTTATATTTTACTTGAACACTGGATCACTGATCATTTATTAAAAGTAATCCATTTTTCATTCTCGAAAAATACTATCACCAAGAGAGATTATACGTAAATATACACACTCAACCATATACATACGTACAAAATATGCTCTCTTCCCCACCCCATACATGCATACATACACGTATATAATATTTATAGAAATGCTCACGCACATATTTGTAAATATAACAAACGGTTGTATTAATTTTAATGACTAAACTAAATATATGAAACATAACTCAACAGCATCTTAATATCATAGTTGACTTATTAACATTTCATAAACGACTCAGCTTAAAAAAAAAGTTGAACATAAGTGAGGGTCAAATAAGCGATGTGCACACTACAATAAGGGAATTTTAAGATGAAGCTCATTAAAAGTGGTAGGAGTAGGAGCCACATAATGGTGGTTTTATAAATCCCATCAGATGTAACATCTATCTATGATACCCCCATTTAAGATAAAATTATAACAACAAAATAAAACTTCACAATTAGGAGCAGATATGGGTACTCGACCTTACAACGTCCTACATCGAAAACTTCCATTCAGTCTGTAGCCAGTTGTAGAAAATAGTTGTTCCTAAAAAGCAGAAAAAAAAGATATAACAGGTCACTACAAATGGATCACTGGGGCAGGGGTGATAATAAATTAACGTTCCATTTACCATAATAGTCACTTGCTGTATAAACAACACAATAAAACCTAATGTTTAGCTCTATAATTAGAACGGTTGCAAGAGTAAATATTGGAAAATTTCAGTCTAAATTTCAAACTTTTATCAACACACTCATCTGACTAATCAATATCTTTCGCTAAAACTAAGTTCCCTAAATAAGTGGGAGCTAAAAGTGTTTTCTCAATTATAGGAACAATCTTAAATAACTAAGCATGCTACTTAGCAGGCATATTGACATGTGGTAAGAACGAAAATAAGCTATCTGTAATAGAAGTAATCTCTATTAACAAAATCTATTTGTAGTGTAATACTTTTCGACCATTTTGTATAAGGCTTCTCTGATAGTACTGATTTCGAATTTTAGTTACATCTATCATATTTATTATAAAATACTGACTATTGTCCATAGTTCATATTATTGAAAAGCTTTAGGAGCATGTAAGTTAAAAAAAATCCACATTAGAAATAAAATGTTCGATCTTATAAGCTTTCCATTATCTAAGAAAATGGAAAAATATATTTTTAATAAAGATGAAGGTACGTTACTATTAACTAAAAGATGTCTAGAGATCTAGATAAATGGTGATTGATGTTCCTGAAAACTATGTCCATACGAGCGGAATGCTACTTTTTTGAACTTTTAAATGAAAGTAACAAGTTTGAGTATCAGATACTGTAGTATTTTTAATTTGCAAGTGAACATAACATATAATAGTTATATAGTTATTAACACTCTAAAAATTCACAATAGTTAAAACATAAAATGTGTATTTTGTTAAAGTAAAATACTTGGCACTCAGTCAGCGAGCCACAAAAACATTTTTGGTTGTTTCATTCTCAAACAAAGTTTCTCGATACTCTTTCTCCTTGTGTGTGTGTGTGTAAACTCTTTGCTATACCTGAATTCCCAGTTTTGTGTGAACACTTTTCCATACCTAGATTCTCACTTACCCACCTACAAGGCTGAATTCTCATTATTCTCACTAGCCTTCAAGGTATGAGAAAGTAAAGCCCATACCAATAACATAGGGTAGCGACCACACTTGTAGCGCAATATACGATCTGGTTCTTCAGCTCTATAAAGCCTTTTGTTTTCTCCGCAGTTTTCACGAGTTCTGTCGATAGAGATGGCCAAGGAAGACGCAATGTTGTAAAGTGGCTAATTAAGGTATGAAATCACGCTATTTTGTGCAAGAGAAATAGAGACCAATCAATTTGTAAACCCGACATCTTCGTGGCTAAATGTGACTTATCGGCAATAAGGTGTTTTTTTTATGTTAACAGATCGAGCACTTTATAAGTCTATATACTACTGAGTGGTCACAAGTAAATAGAAACCTAATTTGTCGTCATCTAACTCATTTATGCTAACTAATTTGTGTTCACAGAGCACTATATAAATG